GGGGGGGGGGGGGGGGGGGGGGGGGGGGGGGGGAAGCTAAGGTTTCGTGTGAGATAGATTAACTGGGTCGTGCACAGTGAAAATGAAGAGCAGAGTTAGAAGAAGAGCCGGCTTTGCATTGAAGACTACTCGGCTTCCACACACGCCCCCTTGGATTACGGCAACCCCAATTATTCAATTAACAAAACAGAATAATAAAGAAGTGGAAAAGGGAAAAGGGGTGGAAAAGGAAAATGAAAAGGAAAATGAAGGAAAAGAAAATCACATCTCAATTTCAGATCCACTGTATCTCTCCCTCTACGAATAATTGAATAATGATCCAATTATGGATCATCATCCTTTCTCTGAATTGTTTGGAAAGAGGGTTGGGTTGAATCGAAGCAGTGAATAGAAGAGGGGAACTGGCGGATTCATTCCACATTCAACTGATGGAAAGCTTCATTTTTTTTGTCCCTCCATTGCCTTCATTATCTCCAATTTCTTCTTTGTTCGCGTACTCGTGACGCTGATTTCAATTCCACCAATGGAAACAATGGCCATCATCGTCGCCATCGGATTCAAATCAGACGGTTTTGTATGTTGCCATCAGTTTTTTTTTTTTTTCCCTCCCTGTTTTCTTAACCCCTTCTCTCAACTTTTAGGTTAAATTATAGCTTTCCCCAACATACATCCGACATTTGGGTTTCTTAAGAGAGAATAAAAAAAGTAATTGAAATCTTTGGTAGCATCCTCATTTGGAGTGAAAACAAGAAGAACTTGCAATTGCAGTTGCATACTTGATAGGGCCGATGAACTACTGATGCCCTTCATCAAATAATTTGTTTTTGGTTTTTCTTTTACCAACAATCGCTAAATTTTCAGACAATTTCATTTCAATCCTATCTTCAAATAAGCATCTTTGTTTTACTAGATTCTCGCTTCTTCATTTACCCTTTTTCTTCCTACCTTCTCAACTCTAATTTTTCATGCTATCTTAGTTCTCAACTCTAATTTTTCATGCTATCTTAGTTCTTTCATGTAAACAAAAGTAATATTAAGTATCTTATCATATTTTAAATGTTGACCATTTTGCCTTGACGTTCAATTCAACTCTAAAATTCGATTGACAAAAATCAATTATAAAATCAAACATTACAGGTTTATAAGTCTCTAAATTTTATCATCATTTTTTAAATTATTCAATAGCTTATATATATATATAATATATATAAAAGTCAACTATTAAATTTTAACCCAAAAAAATTAGGTATGGTATGTTTTCTTTTAGATTGATGTTGTAATATAGAATGAAAATAAATGAAGAAAACACAAGCATGTCATGGTCATGTCCTTTTCTCTGTGTATGAAAGCAATTATTATTATTTTAAAAAGAAATACGCAAGTGGCGTGATATACGGTGGATTAAAAGTAAACAATGTCGGTCGTTTTTTTTTTTTTCCATCTATAATTATGCATTTACTTTTGTTTTACAAGAATAATATATTGTGATTTTTTCAATTCTACATTTATTTTATTTTATTTTTGAAATTGGTGGTTGGTATTAGAGCAACCTACCCTTTTCACCTTAGCTGATCCAATGATATAGTGCCATGTGTCAAGTCTTCCTTTTACTTTTTTTCTATATCTATTCATTTAATTTCGAATAACATTTCAAATTAACTTACTTTCCTATTTTTAATAATTGAATTGAAAAAATTGGTATTATCTATATGAGAAAGAAACAAAAGGATACGTATTATAAAATAAAAACAAAATTGATATTGCAAAAGATATTATAAAATAATAAATAAATAAGTAATGAGTTATTTTATGGCATGAAATGTTTCTCATGTTACTATTTTTAACTCTCAATTTTTAATTGATTGGTTGAAATAAATGGAATTATGTTGATGAGAAAAAATAAAAAATTATAAAATAAAATTGACCATAAAATCGTTGATAGCGTTTGGTTTTAATTTAATTTTGCAGTTTTTAATTGATTAATCGAAAATAAATGGCATTCTACAAAAGAAATTCAAAATAAATAAATAAATAAAACACCACAAAATATTTTTAAAAGGCTGGACGCAAGACACCACATGATTGGACCACGTGACTGATGTGCAAAGTTTAGTCTTGGTATTATATGATTAAATTATATTTAGTTATTAAAATAAAAACGGAAATAAAGTAAGAAATTATTTATAAATATTAAGAATAAGTTGTTTTTGTGGAAAGAAAAAACAATAAATTTAATAATATGATATGTTAATGAGGTGAGAGAAATATATATTTTTTTTTTACTCGACTTTGCTGTTGTGGGCTCTTAATGGGTCCATCCCAGAATTAGAATCTCCGTGGGGCCCAAAATTAAGGCCCATGGATTGTTCTGAAAGGTAAAAACCTAGGTTCTAATATTTTTAGTTTATTTCTTTTCCAGGCTACCAAATTTACCTGATTGGGGCTACTCTCCTTTTTACAGTTTACCATGTGTCATGTCAAATCAAATCATCAATAGATGAAACTAAAAAACAAATATTTAGAAATTATAGTAACGGAAAAGGTTTAAGTTTTAATAGAGAAGTTTGAAAGAAGTAGAGTTTGAGAGAAAGCGTTTGATTTGGGTTTGCTTGTCCATGCTCCATTCTATACTTCGTGTCGCAGGTGTTCTGAATTTTCAGGCCACGCCCTGCCCCTCCTCTTCTTCTTCATCTCCTTTTCTTTTCTTTTGGTTGGTTCCAAGTTGCATGTACTTTCGGTGTAATTAATCAAGACAAAATATAGAAAACAAGAAACTGGAGGGTGGGAATAGAAAAGAGGGGATGTTGTAAGAAGTGGAGACATGGGAGACGCACACAAAGCAAAGCAAAGCAATGTATGAAGCCCCCAAAGTCTGCAACTCTGAAACTCATTTCCTTCTTTTTACATCAAAATGGAACCAACATTCAAAGTAGTATTATGTTTTCTTTTTGCATTCAAAAGTTTGCTTCTTCCCAGATGAGATGAGATGAGATGAGATGAGAGGTCAAAGCGATAAACCCCATAAAAAAAAGAAAAACAAAAAACAAAGCCCCTCAACTTTTCTTTTTTCATTAAACATTCTCATAATCCTTCAAAATCTTTCTCATAATCATGTTTTGTTATTCATATCTGAACAATCTCCAAACCCAATGGAAAAAACTCCATGCTTGTTTCATGGATCATCAGGACCATTCACACCCTCCAACATTGCATCATCCATTACTTATCAAGAATGATCCACACATGCTTAATATGACGCCGATGAGGCCTTGCACATTATGCCCTAATTTATGCACTCTCCACCACAACATCATTGCTTCATACAAGAAACACTAGAGAAGGATGAAAAAACAATTTCTCCTTTTTTTTTTTTTTTGTTTGCGTTAATACTGGTTCAGGTAAAAGCAAAACATGCGCTTAAGGGGGTCGCGTCAGACATTTCTTCTTCTTCTTCTTCTTCATCTTCCCATAAAAGTTGCTTCTTTTTTTCTGAATGTACAAAAGAAGCCGACAACAAGGACAGACACAGCCGTCTATTAAAAATCTCCGAAATAAGGCTTTGTCTCTCCTTTATTAAGTTGTAGAGTGTATGTATTGTGTAGCGTAGACAAGTTATTACTCCTCGTAGCCGCCTTCCATTCACAATTCTGACGCCCCGTTTTCCTGTTTTTATGTAAATACAAATGCTCTGTTTTCTGTTCTGTTTTTCTAGCATGGAAAGAGAAACAAAAAATATGAGAGGTACAGACAGTAATCCTTTTGAAACCAAAACATTACAAAACATCTTCCTCCCACGCCTCGCGACAACAGCAGACAAATTTATGGGGTTTTTTTTTTTTTTTTTTTATAATAAATAAATTGGTTTAACTCACAAAATCATAAATTTACTATCGACTCCCACGAGTATAACTAATTCCTCTCTCCCCTATATAAACCCCACATCTCCTTATCCCCCAACCGCCATTACCAACAAACCATACTCACAAAACCAACCAAATTCCCCCAAAAAGATTACTCTTTTTTTCTTTAATCATCATTCACCTCGAAAATGATGCATTACCAGGCAGAGCGCTCATGGGACTACTACATGCCGGCGACGGCAGCGAGAGACCCAGTGGACCGGGTGGTCCGGCTGGCGGCGGGGAGCGCAGTGGTGATATTCAGCGTGAGCAGCTGCTGCATGTGCCACGCCCTGAAGCGGCTGCTGTGCGGAATGGGAGTGAGCTCAACGGTGTACGAGCTGGACCACGACCCCAGAGGAAAAGAAATTGAAAGGGCTTTGATGAGGCTCGTCGGAGCCGCCTCGCCGCCGGTGCCCGTCGTCTTTATTGGCGGGAAGCTGGTGGGGTCCATGGACAGAGTTATGGCTTCTCATATCAATGGCAGTTTGGTCCCTCTTCTCAAGGAAGCTGGGGCCTTGTGGCTTTAGATCTAACTTTATTCAACAGCAATGCCCTTTTTTTTTTCTTTTCAATTTTTTGTTTTTTTGCTCTCTCTTTCTCCATATATGTTTAAAGTTTACCCAAGATTTTAGAGCTTTCTGCTGCTTAATGCATCTAAACTTTTGACAGTCCATTAAATTCTTTTTAGAGCTTTCTGCTGCCTAATGCATCTAAACTTTTGACAGTCCATGAAATTCTTCCTACCAAATTTTATTGAATGTGATATTGGTAAGATAAGAGATTTAAGGATTCGAAATGTGAAATGGATAACTGTTTAGGGGAGTAAACACAAATTTCTACAAATTTTAGGATCTAAATATGTTGGATACAAGTTAAGACCCAAAACAAGTACAGTTATAAACTAGACGTAGCAGTGTCTATCTTCTATGTTTTTAGGTAAGCATACACTTACTTATACCTTCCAACCTTCATTATGCTCTACATTTGTTCTAGGACCCATAAGAATATCACTAAGAGTGTGAATAGAAGAAAATTAGAGACTAAAATGCATTTCTTAAGGAGTAATTCATCAGTTTATGATTTGATTCCCTACCAACATTCATCAAACTAAAAATGAGTTAATAAACTAAAATGGAATCAAAGTAAAGAAGGGAATAGAGTTAATTAGAGAGTGGACTAAAATTAGATTTAAACCAATGATGAACCTTCATTAAAGCTACTCAAGACATGAAGGGATATATAGGACGAAATTATAGTTAAAACAGACATAAACTTCTAGTTGAGCTTAACCAGGACATGAAGGGATAAGACCAGATTCTCTCAAAATCAAATAAATTATTCTTACTACTTTTCATGCCATTATTATTATTATTATTAACTTCAGAAAAAGAACAAAATATATATATATATATATATATATATAGTAATTTATTGTCCATTGCAAACAAGATAAAAGCATGGAGAGGCAAAATAATGTTGTTCCTTCAATTATTTTTCTGCCCCTTTTTATTTTCATACTCTTTGGCTCTCTCTCTCCCTACATCAAGTAGTATAATCTGTCTACACAGTCATAATCTGCCTACACAATCATAATTTATAGATCTAATCATTAAGTATAATTAACTCATGCTGCTCTTCTCTCTTCTTCTTCTTCTTCTTCTTTTTTTTCTTTTCAATATATACTATACTCGCCTGATAATACATGGTATCAGATTAACGAAGAAAAGATATATATATAGTCGTAAATGTCATTGTCCTAACACATGCTTCATTCATACATATAAGCTTGAAAAACATACACCATCAAATCAATATGTATAGTCAGAAAAAGTGGTTGCCTAAGAGATTGTAGCCTGATTTATAGACATAAGCAATTGGGAAGCACATTTTGAATCCAAATCAATTGTTTGGTAAGGAAGAATATTGGGGAAGTTAATGGCTTTTCCAACATAGGGTTCGATATTGGAGCAATTAGTGAGAATCCCTTGGTTTCTATCATCTTCTTTGTCCATATATGTAAAACTTGTATATGTAAAAGTTGTTTCCTTATGGGGGTACACAGGGTTAAATTCAAAGGTAAAGGTGTGGAGACTCTAAAGTTGAAGTTTCAATAACTCATTCATTCATTCTTGTGGGTACAAGACAATAGATAGATAGAAGGTGGAACATAAATTCAAGCCCCTACAACAGTTTGCATTTACATGTTACAGAAAGAAAGAAGAAAGAAGTGAACAGTTAAAATAATGGAATGAGCAGTAGTTGGAAAACATCCATCATTGTATCAGGCAGTAAAATAGTAACTTTCAACTGCTCACAAATAGGAATCACTTTTCAATATCCGTATATGATTCTATCTAACCCATTAAATACACAGCTTTCATGTACACATATTTAACTTACCTCATTCAACATTTCAATTCATATTGCATATTGCATTTAACATAGATCTCTAGTTACCGGTGCAATAAGGTTGGGTGGGAGAAAATTTTTTGGACCACCCCATAATTTTGGGTTTGTTGAGTTGATAACTCGAATGACTCGACTAGGTATCACGATCCAACCCAACCATCTATTTTCAAGTTAAATCATCAAGTTGTTTGGGTCATCGGATCATACGAACGTCTCAATCCCAAAAAACTTAAAATTTAATTGAGATGAGAGGTTGTTCCATGATAACCCTCTATTCCTAGGCTGTGTTCTCCCGTTTAGTTTAATATATTTTCCTTGTTTCTCATAAAAAGAAATCAAAATGGTAAATCTTAAGTCCCTAGTTTTAAACTCAAATTTGGTACATGTAGCCTAAACATATAAGTTCACATTAGTGTTACATGCCATATTTGTTAATTATTACAAGCATCGATATTAAGATCTTCTTAGCTTCGTATACACGGATTTAGAATAATCAAATGGATGGGAAAAGAACAAAAAAAAAAAAAAAAAA